ATAATCACAATAAAAACAGATTTTCAGAAATACTCTCTAATACAATAATGACGTTCTAAAAGTTTTCCCATTTCAAACGTTATATTTATGTGGCAAAGCAATATTTAGTCATTTTGGTCCTTGTCATCAATTCAACTGTGGCCTTGATTAATTGGGCCACAGAGCCCAGTCACATCAGTCAGGTGGCCCAGGGCCACCTAAGTCTCTGGCACTTGTCACGTTCCATCTGGGTTTTTCAGCCACATACACAGCCCCAACTCTCTTTGTAAGCAAAAGGACAGTTCTGTGTATTCAGGGGGAAGTAGAGTCTACACAGATACTTTTGCTTGGTACATTTAAACCATTAGAGGAAAACAATTTAGAGATGCAGATTTATATAGAAAACTGGTCTGTCATTTTGCACATGAAGACGCGGCCCAAATTATTCACTATTATTTACACATCTTCTTAGCATATTGAACTAAATGCAATAATGTAAAGTCTGCTCTTGAAATTACTTGCTATGTGGAATGAATTGACAAAAGGTATTCCTTATCTCAACAGGCCCCAGCTGAAAACTATATACATGGAGAAATACAATGAGTGAACCATTTTTTTTAGGTTAAATAAATTGATAAAGATTTTTAAAAAGAAGTACATAACTATTCTCAGTATTCAGCTTTTAAATTGTGCATACATATTTCTAAAACAAGGTTTTATAAGTGAATAGAGTCTTGGATAAAATTCCAGCTATCAACTTTGAACTATCAGTAACTAAATTGTGATTTACCAGAATCATGACTTACCAAGTTGGTTTTCTCTTATTTTAGGGGAAGGAGAATGTAGGATATTACCCGTGGACTGTTGTATGCCTAGGCAACCATCTCCCTTATTGTTTTGTATTGACAAATAAATACTTTTTGTGGGAGAGGGATAAATTTTCTTCCTTTACAGACTACTTGTTTTCTGTGCCATGAGGACTCCAGACCAAAATCACTTTCTTTTTGTGCCCATCTTCATTAGATGCTGATAAGGAGGAGATGAGGAGTCATACTTTTTCTACTCATTATCCTTGCAATCTTGGGAAATCACTTAGCCTCTCTGCTTCTCCATTTCTCATTTGTAACATCAAGGATTACGACTAGAGAAACTGAAAGGTTCTTCCATTTCAAATATCCCATGTTTCTACAGTTCTGTCCCTGCTTTCTCTGGCCTCAGGCCACCCTTCTTTGCTGTTTGAGAGTGTCCAAAAATTACTGCTTAGCCCAAAGTCAGAAGAAATGCTCTTCCATTCCTTCGCATCCCACCAAGTTAGGTTAGTCATGGCGCTCATATTCGTGGATAATTGGAGATCCAGACACAAGGAGGCTGGAGGGACCTCTCACCTTGCATATCCTGGCTAGCAGCCTCATGGTCACATGCCTGACACCAAGGTCACCTGACACCATGGTACAGCAGTCACAGCACTGCTAGGCACACAACACTACTAAACACACAGCACTTTTATAATGGTCAAGGACACTTGAGATCCAGAAGCAAAGGCAGAGGAGCCATAAATGTTTTAATCATCAAATATGGGAAAGATTTCTGGGTGTGGGAGGAATTCTTGGTACCACATTTTAGTCCTGAATCCCCTGGTTTACAATCCCTGCACATGACTCTCAGAACAGCCAATGCAAAACTGAGGGACTGGCATTAAGCAGGTCACTAAATGTTTGTGGGGTTTTTTTTCCCCTCTGCGACTGAATTGGTCATTTGTGTTGGTATCATGTGTAGACAGCCTTGAGGGCTTTATGGTAAAATTCATTCCAATGGCTGAGGGTGGATTCTGCTGTGAGTATCCTAAAAGATGAAAGGTTCTGATAAAAGGATGCACTTAACCTAGAACCAGCAAAGCAAGGGCAGTGCAAAAGCCAGGGATTTGTATCTGAGTTGAATCAGGAGGGGGAACTCAATAGTCCTGTCTGCCCATTTCACTGCTCTTGACCACACATGCCAGGGAGTTCTGGTTACTTACACCACTGCCTTTCTAATCAGGACTCAGGGGACCCACCAAGTCTTTTGGTCGCGACAGTGGTTACATAGGTTTGACCTTTGAAACAGTCCTCAAAAACAAAAAGAGATCGTGTATGATCAGCTAGAGGCTGCATTTCTCTGTGCTGCAACTGTAAGTCAAGGGCACAACTAACAATAGAAGTAACAGTAAAAGCTGCCATTTAGTGAGTGTTTACTACCTGCTGGAAACTGGGATAGACGCTTTACCCAAATTTTGTGTCCAAGTTTTCCAATAGGAGGCATATAGGCTGTACAGAAAGAATGTATAAGCTATGAGAATTGTGGTTAACCCTATGGCAGGGCTTAAGATTTTCTTCAGAAAAGGGAAGGGTGGTGGTCCTTTTGGATCAGTTCCAGGAAGTCCTGCCCGGAAATGGGATAGGCCTGGCTGCTGAGCCCTCTGATTCTAGGAAAGAAGCCCGTTTTGAGTTCTTGTGAAAGCAACAGATGAGACGATACTGGGGGATGGTAAAGTCCTTTCACCCTGAGGTTAAGACGAAGCCGAGAGTGGTGTGAGATGTCAAACGTCTTCCTCAACTTGAAACGACAAAACAACCCCCACTCCTAAAACAGCATTATGATGAGGTCTACTTTAAAAGGTCCACCATAGAACAATTAACCAGTTTTAGGGATTCTGGTCCTGTGCTCTTTTAACCTCCCTGGTTCAACGTGTCTACATATTTATATTTAGTGAAATCTAATGGGCACATTGGGATTAAAACTCCAGAGTCAGGATCTGGCCCATGTAATATTGGCATTAATACCACTCAGCCGCAACCAGATGAACTAAGTGCTTAGGAAGAGCCAACTAGACACTCCTGTCAGTTGTCAATCTCGCAGTGATCCTCGCAGAGCACGGCATGAGCACTGTGGCACTGTCCTCTTGAAAGTGACAGGGAACAAGCATGGGGTGGTGTTGATGCCCACCAGGTTATACCAGTGAATTTAAAACATGGTTTTGTTTTTGTTTTTTTTTTACTACCTCCTCCTCTAATGTCTTTCAAGTATTGAGCTGTGTCAGTGTTTCCCATTTTGAAACATCTATTCCTGTTTCTTCCCATCTCTTTGGATGATTGCCATTTGTACAACATTGTAAGATGTGCCACAGTTAGCAGCAACTCCAAGCCTGTATGGTTTTTCTTTCACCAGTTAGTATCTGGATATATGTAAGCTGCTCTGATTAGCTTTCTGAAAACAATTAGAACCAGACATCTCCCCTTTAGGACCAGGAGGCACATGAGCATAAGAAACAACGTCTTTTCTTATTGTATGCGGTTTAATGGGGGGCCTGATTATACCTTCCCAAAGAGGGACAGTGAGCCGATCACTGAGCTACGGCAATTATTCTAAACGGCATTTGTAACATTACAAGCAGTCTAGGATGAGACTTCTGGAAAAGAACAAGCTACCCCACCCAAATGTATTACAAATGTGCTTGACTGGCATTTGGAAAGAAGAAAGAAACTCTTATTAAAATTTAACATCAACTTGGCCAGACTTTGGGCCGAATTGGAAGAACAAAGTGCTGCTCAGTGAAAAGCCCGGGGTGGGAGTGATGTGATTTCTACTTCTAAAGGTGAAATAATAATAATAAAAAAAGACAGAACGGCCAACTAATCCCTTCATGGCAGATCTACACAGCTTAAATTCCAAGGGTTATTTTGTATCAAATCTTGCCATTACCCAATGGCTTTTCCTTATGAAATCCTTAATTTTTAGATATACAGATCTGATTTCAGTGGGAAAAGGGACTATCCAGTGTCTACAATTATCTTGAAGAGAACAAATGGTTCTGAGCGGTGCTGGTGGACACAGTGACACTGAAGATGACCTCACCTCAGCACTATTCCCATGGGGGCCTGTCCTGATCAACCCCCAGTCTTCTACTTTGCTGCAACTCTGCTGGCTTTCAAAGACCAGGTGTCTCTGAATGGGCACCATGGTTACAACGCTCTAGGGTATATGGGGATTCCATAACAACTTCTAAGTATTTTTCTTCCTTTTCCTCTCTGTGTCCCAGGATCTTAAGCTGACTCATTGCCTCTATATTCTGAGAGAATGCCCAAACTAGCTCTTGGGTTGGGATTGTGGGACGCACTAAACTCAGGCTGGCATGCCCTCACAGATGTGGCGATAGAATGATCTGCCACAATAGCATTCGTGTCAAGAGATGCAGTGCCACCCATGACATTCATTTTCTTTGTGATAGTGAAAGATGCCACTCAGCACAGAGGGACCACTCTGCTGTCGAATGACGGCATGGACTAGTGAGAACTTTGTAAGAGGCATTTCTTATAAAGGTAGTCACAAGGGGATCCATCATCATTTGGTCAGCTTGTCACAAAACAGCAAAGTTACCCAGAGCCTTGAACACATCAAGCAAGTACAGATGCAACACATACAAGCAAAGCTAATTTAATATGATTCCTAGCAAATTATTAAACTCCACAGTGGTGGGGCGAGGGATTGTAGGGGAGAGATTGAGAACAACAGTGAGAAATAGAGAGAGTGAGAGATGAGATATGCAAATGGTTTTTTTGTTTCCATTTTGAAGAGTCTGATCCCACCCAGGCAAAACTGAAATCCTGCCCAAATTGGCCAGAGGCCTGTGACAATGAGGACTGTATCTCAAAGCTGCAGCAATGACAGCTCCCGTCCTCATAAAAAAATGGGAGGCAGTTTATTATCAAAATACAAACACTAAAATACTTCCGACCATTTCGTTAGCAGCATGGTTCCCAATGCAACATTCCCTTTATCAATCAAGTTTACATCATGTGGCTTCAATTCGTTTGTCTTGCCAAGACTCTTAAGAGAGCAGGTGCAAAAAGAGGGAGAGAAGAGATCTTTCCTTTTAAGCGGCAGACAGTCTTTATAAGGAATTCTCTAGGGTTCTATTCTGAAGACTATTCCGTTTGATTTGGGGCACTTTTCAAATGGCCATTTGGCACTTTCTGTTTAGAGTCTTAGGCACAGTGTGACAGAGTCAGCTTGGTGAGCCCTTCCCCATGCATTCGGTACAGCAGCTGAAACTCGGCAGGCAGCTGGTGTGACTCCTGCCACTTGGTGGTAAATTTGGTCCCTTTTTTGTCATAATAATGGTATGGAAGATCTTCCCTTGTGTTGGGGTCAAATCCAAAAGGCCAAAATCCATACAAGTGGATCTCTTCACACATCGCTGACGCAAGGGTGTACATGAGAATACCTGTGCTCAGCCGTTTGGGTGACAAATGTTTGTTTTTCCAGTACCTGTGGAACAGTAAGTACATGTGGATTCAGAAGCCAGTGTTGGTTTCAGGCAAATAGGTCAACATGACTGGGCCAGGAGGTGGATTGGTACATGGATTTGCCTTTTTTAAAGTAGCATTTGCTTTGAATCTATCTTTTAGAACACCTCTGGGCAGGACTGGCTACATAATTTGTGAGACCCAGTATGGGACGAAAATGCGGGCCCTTCTTCCAAAAATCACTGAGTTTCCAGAGGGTGATAGCAGGGCATTAAACCAAGTGCCAGCCCTCCTGAGCACAGCTCCTGTGTGACCGCACAGGTTATACATCACGTGACACCAGCCCCGCCTCTTGGCTGTGCTAAGGAGTGGTGGCCCTGACTCAGTGGTGACACCGCAGAAGGCCAGCAGCAATGGGAATGACTATGCTCCTGTGTCACCTTCTTATCCAAATCTAGAGGTTGGTTAAATGCTTCTTCTTTGGTCTGGAGAGATTGTGGGGCCTTATTTTTCTGTAGCTTCTTGTAAAAAAAAAAAATCATATTCCCTGTTCCTTTGTTTTCTACCTAAGGGTTCCTAGGGGTTCCCTTCTTTAGCATGCCAGAACCCAAGAAAAGCATTTAAACACTTTCTGAATTAAAAAAAAAGCTAAATTATGGCTGTTTTTCCTTCCATATTGAAACAGTAGTTTGAAGCCTTCCTACCTATACTACCAAATATTCGAGACTGCTAGGGAGCGAGTGTGTGTGTGTGTGTGTGTGTGTGTATCATTTGCTGTGTAGGCAGAGTTAAACTGTTTATGAATCAGGTTTCCTCGGACTGTATTTCCCTTGAGTTTTCATTGAACCAATGTATTTGGTTCAAGCCTGAGTGGCTGTGAAGCATTATGGCTAACTCCGTGGCCTTTCTGAAAAGCTAGGGGCAGGGTAGGCCACACAGGCCAATTTCCTGAAGCTTCTAAGCACGTATAGTTCCTTCTTTACTACTTGAAAGCTTCACAGACCTTTCCCCATTCCAGTTGAAATGTAACAGTTTAGTCTTGGTTTTCTTACTAAGGAGTTAGAATGACTTCTGACAATTCCTTTGGTATGGCTGAAGTTAAGTAAAGTAAGGCGGGAGCAAAATGATGAGGTCAAAAGGCCACAGGAGGACAGGTTGGTGGGAGGCATGGCTTCTAATTCTGATTTTGCCCATTTGGGGCAGTGACATTGGGTGGTAAATAATTCCTTTTCTTTGTACCTCAGTTGACTCATCTTTAAACAAGAGTTGGGCTACCTAACCTCTCGAAAAGATGACCATACATCTTGGGAAGCTGGGATAGTCTCAATTTTTGTTTGTTATCCTGTTGTTATTAATAGTACCCTCTTTCTCTTAAAGACAGAGCTCCAGTTTGGACTATATATTATGGTGTCACCCTACCTGTTAGATACATACTACTTTATTAGATGATGATTCCTCCTTCTATCAGAGGTAACCTAAACAAACATTAAGTTTGGTAGACTTCAGAGGACTACAGGATGGGAATAATATACTATGGGATAAACGTCTTTAGAATTCTCTGGTTACCTGTCCTCCCAGAACCCACTTTAACTTGTAGGACTATCCGGACAGTATGTTAGGACATGGAGGCTACTTGCTCAGGGGAAATTAGAGTTAAGGCAGTTTCCTCAGATGATTTTTAAAAAATCCTACAACTAATTTTGCTTTATAAAATGCCCTGGACTAGTGGCTCCCAATTTTGACTGCATATTAGAATCATCTAGGAGTTATTAAGAAAAACAGGTACTGGGTCCTTCCCCTCCCCCTGCCAGATAAATTACATTAGAATCCCTTGAAGTAGAGCCCAGGCAACAGTAGTTTTAAAAGTTCTCCAGGTGATTCTAATGTACAGCCAGCATTCAGACTCAACAGACTAGACAAAAATATTGCATTTCTGATCAATCTCTCTATCAAATTATGAGGGATAACAGCAAGCTCATAAAATATCTTTCACATGTTTTGGCACTGAAATCCCAAATTTTAAAGGCCAATTATGCAATTTATGCTTTCCTTAAGTGGTTTTCTAATCTTGGACATTGACAAAACACCCACATATAAAATCAAAAGGAACATTTTAAGTCAATTGCATCTTGACTTGGTTTGTCTGATTCAGCCATTGGCATGATTGGGACATAGCTCTCCATTAAAGACAATTCTTGATTTTTGATGATTTCCATGACTGCCTGTTAGGCTTACCACCAAGGGAGGGGGCAGGGATTAGAGAGGGCAGACTGACGAAACACCAGTCCCCCCTCCCCCATATAGCACTTTGTTACCAGCTGGAAGTAGGAGAGTAGGAGATTGAACTTCTTACTGAGAATGATTCATTCTTTCATTACAAAAACATAAGAGTTTGCCTCAAAGTTCTAAGCTAACCACAACAAGTAACTAATCAGATACCTCCCACCCCCAAGAGATTACAATATTGATTTGCCATCTGGTGGGGTAAGACTTAAAGGCAATAAAATATACACACCTGTTGACATGTTGCATTATATTTCCAGGCCAAGCCAATTGGACCTTTAACTGACCTCTGTGTTCAACAAAAAAGTCAACTAATGTCCTGGTAACAGTTGCTGAAGTGTGGAAGAAAAATGCAGGGATCCAAAGAATGGCCCCATCGAGCTTTTTTAAACTCAGGAAAAAGTTGTTACGGTCCTGAATGGTCAAAAGATTGTTGTAATATTTTTCCAGAATGCTGGGGTTGAAGGTGGTAAGGTTGGTTTTCCTTCCAACATCTCTTTGGAAAGCCTCCGTAGGGGCAAAATTGCAACGGAAAACAAAATCTGACTTATCTATTTCTTGTCCACACCGGCTCCCTGTCAGGATCCCACTATTTCCAACCACAGCACAAATATTAAAATGCTTATTCACAATGGGTGACACATCTGGAAGCAGTGATCGGAAGTTATTGCTAATAGAGAAAACATATTTATGGCTGGAATAATCATAGTGCATCAGTTGTCCGATCCGAACACTATTCTTGGTCAAAGAAAAATTTTTTATTACATCGACATGCTGAAGAATTTCTTGCCTAAAATGAAAAGAAATTCATTAAATGCATCCCATTCAAAAGAATTGATTTTCCATCTTATGTCTTATGCTGCCATTTCATTCAGACAAGAATCGTAGGCCCATTGTATCTAAGAAAGATTATACATTCATAATAATTGCGGTCATTGCGGGAAAGACTGCTTCAGAATCTACAGAGGTGTTAATTTCCCAATCAAGTTCTGGATGTAATCCTTCAAGGCTTATAAATGTTGTCACTTACAGTTTTAGCTGGCATTCTTTGGTTTTCTGCTCTATGTGAGAAGTGTATTTGATCAAGGAGGAGGCATGATCATAGGAGGTCAAACTATGTCAGAAAATACAGGGAGACAATTTACACAGGCTCCAAAGAGCTCACATTAATTCACAAACATTGGTGACTTAGAGTTTGTAACCAGGTACTGTTTGTTTGCTATTGGACTGCAGCGTTCAAGGAATATCAAATATCACTGGTATCCAAATAAGAGCCAAATAGATACGAGTCAGTATAATACTATCTATTATTGAAATATGGAAATGGTAACAATAGTGAATGTAGTTGCATATTTAATAGAAATGAGATGATAACCTCATTAAGGTCCTTTGAATAATGAAACAGGAATATTTTTATACTTGATTATATAGAAACACAATTTAGTTGGAGGAACTTAATCCTTAGAAAAAGAGGCTATCGTGAATCCTGAAAATGTGTGTACATTCTAAGAATTCAGAGGATAAACAAGGCAAGGGTGATACTTAGCATTAATTTCAGGTTGCTCTCATGTTGAGCTTTAAGTAAAATGAAGTATTTCCTCTTAGAGTTTCAGCTATTTAAAATATTTATGAGAGACCAGTAACATGTTACTTTGCTACTAGATTCTCTAATTCTAAGAAATCACATTGTAAATTTCCTATGTCTTTTGCTTAAAAAAATAGGATTGAAACTAAATGCTTTGCATATCATCACTTTAACTGGAATTTTATTAAAAAAAAACACTTCATTTGTCAAAATATAAAGCAACATAAACTGAACGCTTTAATCTAAAATTTCCAGAGTTACCCATACTGTTCTTTACAAGCTAGTCTTTACCTGTTATAAAGGTAAAGTAAATTTAAAATGATACTGGGAAAATTAATTAAAGTTTACCTAATAAGTGGATTGAAAGGAGGGAAGTTTTGAGAAGGAAATATTGTTCTCACTCGTCATTTGGGTCACATGGCCCAGTGTGGGAAGATAATTTTTACTATGTTAGAAATATGTCTTGGGAAAGGTATAATGTGTTCTACCATGAAAGTTTTCTGGTTTGTCTATAAAATTAATATTGGACTAAAAACCCAATAGTTTTTTTAAGGTACTTCTATGGTTTAGAATTTATCAATTATTGACATTGAACTAATTTCTAATTGAACAGTGTTTTAAAATTTTTATTCATAATCACATGACTATATCAGCTTTTCATGACACCATAGATATCTACTGAATTGGTTTTAATTCTGTCACTCAAAATAAAAAAGGGTGCAGTAACTAGAAATGCTATGACAAAACACAGCTCCCTAAATGAGTGGTAAAATGATCATTTGTAAAATAAATATTCACACCCCTAATGAATACACTAGATGGCTCACATTCCATTTAGTAGCATAATAATCCCACCAAAAAGGAAGGAGTAATGACTTATCAGGGGTTGCTAAGAGTAGACCAGAATCACTCAGGATAATAAATTTGAATAAATCTCATCCTTCTTCCCCACCTCACGCACACACACACACACACACACACACACACACACACAAACTCCCTCATGTATAAACCAGGCTGTTACAAGACAACAACCTGTAAAAATGATGTGGGGTAGCTTTTACAATGTATTAAGGGCTGTAAAGGTTTAATGAAAACAAATAGGCAAAACCAGAACAAAACCATACTTAAATACCTGCATATATTTGGGCCAAGATTTTGACTAGTAATTGATAAGGGCAGATTATAGTATTTTCTGTGTGTTTCAGTGTGAGACAATTCTATTTTATTTCATTTTTAAACATTTTTCTCAGTGGGAGAATGAAAATGCATTATTAGATGGTCTTTATGCAATTGTTTTTGTTTTTTTGTTTTTTTTTGTTTTTTTTTTTTTTTTTTTTTTTAGTAGATGGCTTTGGCAGTGTTACCCATGCATGTTAACTATAAATCATTGTGCTCAGTTATGCCCCAGTTAGGGAGCATATTGGAAATATCTTTTTCCCTCCCATTCAAATTGGTCTTCTTGATGTTTTCTTTTTTTTATGAGAGGGCACTACATACATAAAAAAGAGTTACCAATCAGCCTTTGTGCAGTCAGGCCTAGAAGACAATGCAAATAACACCTCCGGTGGGGGATAGATTTTTGTTGTTTTGGAGTATTTTGTTTTGTTTTGTTTTGTTTGAACTCCAGAATTCAAAAACACCTTTCGGATCTTTTCCCCCTATCCTACCTTTGATGTAAAAACGCTGTCCGATTAAATGTCCACTTAGAAGGTTTCTCTTGGAGTTCGTGGGTCAGAGAATTCGTAATGGGCACAAATGACGGATCTAGAAACTTCAGCGCAAATTGTGACCTGGAGAGGAGCATGAGTACACAGACAAACGTGCTGGCCTCAGCTGGGGGAAGCCAACGTAGCCATTAAAGTCCAGGCGGCTGGGGGCGGCGCGCGCGTGTGGGGTGAGGGGTGCACCTGGCACACGCACTGGCTCCATCCCGCCCCAGAGCCCCTCTCATTTGGCCCACTCCCTGCTCCCACACACACCCGGGGGGAAGAAGGAAAAGTAGGGAAATCCGCCTCCATTGTCCATCCCTCCGGGTGCGGGAGAGACCATAAAATGGCCGTCTCGCGGAGAGCAGGGCGGGAGCCCGGCGCACTGCTGGAGCCAGATGCGCGGTGAGGACCAAGGAGTCAGCACCGCGGACAGCGGCCGCGCCTCCGCTATTCCGACCCGCGACGCCCCGGCTGTCCGGGTGAATTGATTTTTGGAGAAAGGGCAGAGGAAACCGGAGTCCCAGGGGAAGACTGGGGGTGGCTCCTGCCTTAACCTCTTACTTCCCGAGCCGAGTCTGATTTCACTCCCTGTCCCCTAACTGGGGACCCCGGAGGCCGCAGGGCAGCTCCACTCTTCTGCCCAGGTGGGGCTTCTCTACGTTCCGCACCTCTGGCCCGCGTGGACCACAGCTTGCAGTTTGTATTTGCCACCTGGCCCTCGGGAGGTCCTCCTGGAAGAGCCCCTGAGGGTCACAGGTAGAGGCAGGGGTTCCCGAGGAGCTGCGCCAAGCTGCGCCTGGCCCCTTCCCTGTCCAGCCCTCTCGCCCGGCGGCGACTTGGACCAGGGGCGAGGGTAGGCGGCCCTTACGAGGCTCGCTTCCCGCAGAGGGCGGAGGAATTGCAGAAATCCCGGAAAGGGGGCGGGGGGCGGTGGTGGCAGCAGTAGGGAAAGGATCGAGGTAAAATACCCCAGGGGCTTCAGAACAGACCCGCGCATCATTTGATGGGGTGGGGCGTGACGGAGAGGAGTGAGCACAGCGCTCGGGGAGTCCGGCGCCTGCGCCATTAAATCGCCCTGGACCGCCCGGAGCCCGGCCGCGGAGTCTGCGGACGCCGCACCGGGAAGGCGCTCACCTCACGCACATCCATCTCCCGGTTCACCGCCCCCTCCCACACACACTCATTGCCTCTCCCTCCATCATCATTCTCCTTAAACCCTCCCCCCATTTTTGAAATGGGGGAAGGGATGCAGAGGAAGAATACGAGAAATGCAATCACATTGATTAGGACAACGGCTTTTAGGGGCTTGGTTCAAATAAATAAAGGAAGGGGGAAGGGAGAATCAGAAAGAGGAGTGGAAGGACCACGCAGTCATCTTGCCCAAAGTGTCTCCGAGAAGCCAAACACCCCCCTGTCATCCCCCCCCCCTCAATAAACCAGATACCCGAGGGCGCTCAAATAGAGAGAGGCCCGCACTCACCGGAATCCCGCGTGGAACATGTACATTCGGGGCGCCCCCGGGTTGGCGTACTTGGGAGTGGTGAAGATGTTCTCCTTTTTCAGGGACACGTAGCTGATGAGCGATAAAATCAGCAGGGCGACGCTGAGCATGACCAGTCCCAGCACACTGGCGACCCGGGCCATTTTGCAATTTCTCATCCCGGGCTGGGCTGGGATCAAGGGAAGCAGGGAAATCGGTCCATTGAGCGGCCAGCAGCTCGCTGGCGTGTCAGTGTGTGAGTGTGTGTATGTTCGCCCGCGCGTGTCAGCGTGTGTGGCGGGGGAGGGGGACCGGGCAGGGGAGCCGCGGAGGCCCGGGAGGTGGGGAAGGGCAGGAGCCCCAGAGAGAAGCCGACCCCCCAGGCAGGGCCGAGCGGGGCCAGGAGGCTGGGCAGGAAGATGGAGGGCCTGCGCGGCGGCGTGGCGATGGAACGCGCCGCGCTGTGCGTCCCCGGCCGCCGGCTGAGGCTCCCCCGCGCGTTTCCAGCTAGGCTGCCATCTCCTCCGCCGCCTGTAAGATAAATGTGATTGGAATAACGTTACAGTTCGATCTAAGCACAGGATTTAATTAATGAACTCTAATCTCCCAAATAAGCGGGGGGAGGGGCCGGAGAGGGGAGGGGGAAAGAGGGGTGGCAGAGGGAGGGGAATTGAGGCTGGAAGGCTGCCGCCCACGTCAGTGGGCTTCCCGGCTGAGGGTTCGCGCGGGGAGGTGGCTGGGGCGACACAGAAGCCCAAACTTGGTTAAACGGACCGTTCGTTACTTTATAAATATGATGCAGGATAGGGTGATAACCAACTGGATTTGCTGCCTTGGAGGTTACACACCAACTGCGTGCTTCTCCTAGATGCAGGGAGAGTAGTTTTAGGAAGACAGACATTTAAAAGCTTCTCTCCTCACCACTGAGGCACCACCCTGAACCCCACGGGGTAGCATGCGTCCTAGCACCCCAGCGCCCCCGCAAAGAAGCCCTGAGAGCAGCTGGCCCAGTTTGGCTTGTGAGCGCTTAAAACCTCCCTAGAAATTTCCAGAACCTCTCCCCTCTCCGCTTCCTTTGCCCACCGCATACATTGCTTCTCTCTGAAAGGTGGGCAGTGCCTAGCACAGCGGTGAGGTGAGCTGTGGGGGGGGGGGGGGGGGGGGGGGGGGGGGGGGGGGGGGGGGGCTCGTTTCTCCCTCCCTGTCCGTGTCTCAGCACATGGCAGGTGGTCAGCTAGGCTGTGTTCCTGAGTTGACCAGGAGCAATTCCCCCTGATTTAACTCTTCATTGCCCACTTTCCTGATCCATCCCTGGGGCCAGGTCTTGGGGATGGGCCACCTAACTTAGTCCTGCTTGGTCCAGAAGCATTTACAAACTACTTTATAAATACATGGAACTCACCTTTGAAGGAGTCCAAGAACCAGGTAAGAGTGGCTGCCTCTGAGGGTGGAAGGAAAGCTCACTGCCTAACGTTTTATATTGCGTGACCTTCCATTTATTTTAGAATATTCATATGTTGCCCGTTATAACATTCATTGGAAATAAAAATTAATCCATTTTCAGTGAGGCTGCTGGACACTCAGAGGCAACCCACCTATTTCTTTAGCTCTGTTCTTTGCAATCAACTTGTGGCTTCTTCCACCCTAGTCTCACCCTTGGACTGGCCCTCCCAGCTTATTGGACTGGCCAATAAGCACTAATGAAAGAAGCTGAGGTGAGAAATTGTCCTCTGAGAACCTTTTCCAATAAAGCAAATTGACACTTTCTGAAGTTTTTATGATTTCTTTCTCTCCTGAACTTCTTGCCTTATGGACTTTGGTGGGCCTGATGATACATCTGTCTGTGGACCTCACATTCCTTAAAGGGGTGAACCCCTGGACTGTTAACTCCTGCAGAGCCAGGGGCCATGTCTTCTTCCCCGCTGTTTGCACATACTGTCTGGCAATTGTCCCATGTAGAGGGTATGCTTAATAAATGTTTGAGAACTGAGTGAGGTCCCTTGGAAAGACATCTTTGTCTGGTTGTGGACAGAGGCACGCAGAATGCAAGTGTCTGTTTCCAGTGAATGACAAGGGGAGTTGTTCAGTTTGTACCCACTGAAGACATTTTATACCAAAATCTAAAAATGTGGGCCAAGAAGACACAAATAATCTTCTTTTTCTCATGGGGCTTACATTATTTAAAAAATGTTAGAAAGGCCTGCACATCTATATGATGAATACTGGAATGATATTTTTTGAATAATTACTATGGTTTCTTTTAAAGAGAAGACCATATGAATCTAGCGTAAAATGCCAAAAGGAGTAAGATCGTGTCTTAGAGAGCTATCTAAGAATTACACATGTTGGAATAACTCTTCTTGAACACGGAGTCAGGGGAACATGCTACAGAGCTCAGAGTAATGGTTACACTTTCAGGCTCTGAAGCCAGCAGACCTGACTTCAAAAGCTTACTCTGGCACCCACAGCTATGTGACCTTGGGTAAGTTATCAGCCTCTCTGTGTCCCAGGCTCCTCACCTGCAGAACCAGGAATTGGGGGAAGATTACACAAGGCATGTAAAGGCCTTGGCAGAGCTCTGGGTCTTTATTAAGCTGTCAATAAATATGAGCTGAACAGCTTGCACAAGCTTTCAGTGTCTTTCTCTGGCCCCATAAACGACCCACGACACAGTGCATGGGAAGGGATGTACTTGGTGAGGCATTTTCCTACAGAAAATGGCAAGGATCAAGAAGCTCTTTGGTTTTCTTTATAAAGGAACATAACAGGCTTTCCTGGGACATATGATACAGACTCATTCCACCTGGATTTAAAAATTGATATATTGCTTATGTTTAGCATACCTTTGTGAACTTTCCGAAGGAAGTCCTAGGAGGATGATCCCCAGATTGCAAACGGGTCACTGAAAGTCATATGATGTAAAGGAACCAACTTAGCCAGAAAAGAAACCAGCAGGCGGGAATCCTGTGCCAGGCCTAGAGGTGGAAATGACAATTACCAGCGGGAAAATTTCTGGGGATGGTACTTCACAGAGTGACTACAGTACTAGATATGGGATTTTTTTCAAGCCTGGGATGATAGCTACTTAAATTAAAAAAATAATGAGGACATTTTTGTAGACTATCACGTAACAAATTTCATTAGAAATGAGATCTATCTGGAAGAACAGGAGGGTGAAAACAAGAAATACAGAAATGAAAGACCTCTCTGACTTCTGTTTCCTAGGGGAGCTGTTATTTTGGACACAAGTATTTCCCTCTCCTACCTCCGTGAGTGCGCACCTTTTGCAAACATGTCTCTGGGGCCCTGTCTAGGTCGTCACCAACTCATACCTACCAAGAGTAGCTTCCAGGCATTTTGGATGGGAAACCTGGGAAGGATGATGTCTTTTGTAAGAAAGAGCTTCATTCATTTCTTTATTTCTGTTTTCTTTCATCAATTCATTAAATAAAATGTGTTGGTTATCAGACACCTGGCCGGACAGATAAAGGGTTATAAAATCGTCCTTGACCTCCTAATGCTTATGGTCTTGTGGGAGAGAGATCAGCCAGCATAATGGCGGTATTGTGTGAGTGGGCACTCGGGTGGCTCCATGGAGTAGGTGTCCTGCCAGTATTATGGAGAGCTTGACAACAGAGGGCTGATGGGAGAGGCAGAGAATAAACTGTGACAGGTTGTCAGGGTTCTTCGTGGAGGGCAACATCTGAGCTGGGCTTTAAAGTATGAGTATGATTCATTAGGTAAAGAGGTTAAAAAAGGACATGCCAAGTAGAGGGGTGAGGAGGAGGTAGGGAAGATTAATTATGGTGGGCTTGACTAGCAACAAGAGATGTGAGGTGACTGCCACAAAAGAAGAGCCCAGAAAGGGAGTGAGGGCCAGACTGGATGACGTGCTAAGGAGTTGGCTGTGTCCTTGGCAGCTCCACTCACAACTGCCCAGCGTTTGAGAGAGGAATGGCTCAATCTAATTTGCACTGACTAGTGCAGGAGCAGCTGGAGGCAGGCCCATGGGGAGATGGGAACAGCAGCTGCTCATGTGGACATCAGCTGATATATTCTGTCCATGTGCCAGAAGCACCAGTGTGCCTTAATTTATCAATGAACCAATTGACCATTTTCTGTTATGAGACACTCACTCCTGAGTAAGGCACCAGGGAGTTGACTTTTGGAAGGGCAAGTGACCCCTCCTGGATGACATGGAGATCATAGTCCAGGGAGCTCGGGGACAGTCCACTGGGAAACTGCTCTTTGGCCACATGTGACCGGAGTTCTTTCTGCACATTATTGCTTGACTTCTTAGTTCCTAGTGGGTCTAACAGTGGCCACAGGGGAAAGATTTGGGGACTCTGGAGGTTTCTACCTCTTATTTTCCCTTAAAAGATAAATACTTTATGAGCTCAGGGGTGGGAAAGCCACTATAGTCAAAGAAAGCTTCTCAAAAGCCCTCAGATGAGACTGAGACTAGAAAGATGCATGGGGATTTCCAGAGGCGGAGATGGCAGGAGAGGGCAGGGCAGGGCCAACCAGGCTGAACAAAGATGTGGAGGAAGAAGAGGGAAAGGCATGTTGGGGCCAGCGAATAGATAAGCCCACTTGGAGTAAAGTGAAAACAGCCAAGATGTAGAGAGCACTTCTTATGTACCAGGAGTCTTTTATACCTAATCTGTAATCTTCACCCAGATCTGCAGAGGAAGGTATAATTATTTTCACTGCATAGTTGAAGAAACTGATGGACATGATCTTGCTCAAGACAAATCCTCTTTGACTCTAAAGCCCACCCTACCCACTATTCCAAACTGCTTGGAAGTGGTTCCTGAGACAGAGTTGGAAATGTGTGCAGCCCTGGGAAATCTGAAAGCATCATTCTTTGAGAGTGAGAATCAGTTAATACTGATGAGGAGGGGGAGGAGAAGAAGGGGGAGGGAGATGATGTCATATAACATTCATTGCACACCTACTATGTTTTGGGTATTGCCCTAGGCATTTTAACAACTGATCTCATTTAATCTCTATTCCATCCCTATGAGGATGGAGAGAGAATGAAGAAACTGAGGCCCAGAGAGGTTAATAACTTGCTCAGGTCACACAACTAGTGTGTTCCAGAAGAAGATTGGACTCTACTGGTATTCCAGAGCTCAGAGGAAGAAGGGTTTTAACTCTCTCTCTCTTGGCCATTGTATCTCAGGGTTACTAAGGAAGAGAGTACGTAGCCTCTTTGAAAAAACCATTTAATCATAAAGGTGCAGTGCCAGAGCAACAAGGAAACAACCCGAATGATTCATCTGAGGACCAGTGGCTACTCTGGGGCTGGAGGAAGGTTGGGTAAGGTTGGAGCCTGGGGACAGAGTGCCAGCCATCCTGTGGGGTTAGCCAGGAGACAGCATCTTACTTTCATTGTATCCTTTAGTGCCAGCACACCAATCAGCACAACTAATGCTCAGTTTGGAAAGAAGGCAGGGAACTTCTCTGCTGTACAGAATAC